CAAGAAATCCTCAGTCTTCTGTATCCATTCACGAGTGACCTGATTCTGACTACGGCGGCCCGTGTACATCCAATCATGGTTATCCATCATCTACCATATATATAACAGAGTAATATAACCATCAATAGCATATGCACCGCTTGCCTACTATCTAATAGGTAGGGATAGGTCCTAATCCCACCCGCGGATGCGTAGATGAGGTTAGTTTCTATGCTCCGCTCCAATCCGAGATAGAATTTCGGCATCACATCCCCACTGTTCTCCCGATACACATCCTGGAAGGGAGAGTGTGTATCCGGAGAACAACAGGGAGGTGCTGCCAAAACCCCATCTCGGACCGGACCGGACCATACAAACTAAATCATCTACGCATCCACGGGCTATCCAAATAACGTGGACAATCCAAAATAGATACGGTCGCAGATATGTAGAGATCCGCATACTTACGATCGTATCTCTTTCGGACGGGAGACACCTAACTAGTTTACACGATCTAGCTAGGGTTACGGACAAAGGGATTATACCTAGGGTGGCGGTGTAGTGGAGAGGTGACGCGGTGCAGGCAGACCCGAAGGAAGAACGCTCGGGGTACTCCAGGTCCCCTCTGTCGGGCTCTTCTCTGCAAAACAAGAAACACAATTTTGGCAGAACCTCCCCTGTATGGGGAGGCTTCCAAAACCTGCAAGGAAAAAGATGGCACGATGGCCGACATCCACAATTTCGGCATGATGGCCGACACAGCGACATATGGCACGATGGCCAACACATCCACAAAAGGCACGAAGGCCCACTAATCCAGAAATGGCACGAAGGCCAGCAACAGGCGGGAGGGAGGCTTTACCTTGGGTGGCACTGTAGTTGGGCGACGCGGAGTCGGGATCACCCTCGTCTTCGGCTAGACGCGGGGAAAACGGCGACGACCGCTCGGCGTGACGCAACAACGCGGGGGCGTGACGGTCGTCGGCCTCTCCTTCTCCCCTCCTCTCTTCTCCCTTCCTCTTCTCCCCTGCTCTCCTTCTTCTCTCCCTCTCCTTCTCCTCCTCTTCTCCCCTCCTCCTCCCTTCTCCCCTTCTCCTTCTCCTCTCTTCTCCCTTCCTCCTCCAAATGCTCTCTGCCGCAGTCGGCCGGCGCAGGGCGCACGGGCCGGGCCGGGGCCGCTGGCCGGCTGGGACGCTGGTCATGGGGGGCCATCGGCGGGCGTGTGGCTGGGCGCGGGGCGGCGGGGGGACACGCTGGCCTCGGGGTGGGCCACCGCGGAGTGGCCGGGGCACGCGGGCCGGCCGGGACGCTGGCTAGCCTAGGGGTGGGCCACCGTGGGCGTGTGGCCGAGGGCGGCGGCGGTGCCCACCACCGGGCGAGGTGGGGGACGACGCGCCCCGATGACGACGGCCTTTCAGTGGGCAGACTCTTTGCTCAATGCCCAGCGGCAGGGATTTGGCGAGGCCGCCTCCGGGCGCGGTATGGGCGGGCGGGCTCGGCGGCTCCGGTGACGGGCGGGCGAAGGGAGAGGCTCTGTGTGTGGGGGGACCAGCGAGAGAGGAGAGGAAGGATCTGCGGGCGCGGGCGAGAGGAAAGGCTGAGTGGACCATGAGTGGTTTATGTGGGCTGGGCCTTTGCCGAGGGCCCAGATCCTGACTCTCGGCAAAGTTTTTTTTTTTTTTTTGTAAAAACTCTTTGCCGAGAGCCCTTTGAGGCTCTCGGCAATTTTTTTCCCAATTTTTTTCTGGTGGCTAACAATAATATTTAAAAGACATATTTAAAATTTGGAGTTTTTTTGATTTTATTAGCTATATTTAATAAGTTTATTTCATTTACTTGAATTCTTCCTAGTAATTCAAATTTGAACTGCAGGTGCATCGAATATTGGAATTGAGTGATTCAAAAAATCATATTCATGGTATTGAATGTGGTGTGAGACCGTATCCACTGACAAATGCCAAATTTGGTGCATCGTTTTCACGGAACACGGCGAGGAACTTGCGTGTAAAGTATTTTTAAATTATATAAAATGGAAACGGAGTCTGAAATTCACGAAACTTGTCGAGGTGTCATTTCATCGCATGTATAGGCTGTGATAAAAAATTGAGTGGGTTTCGAGCAAGTTCATGCGGAGATGTCTGGGTTTTAGGCATCGGACGTCGCAACTTGCTCGAAACCCACTCAATTTTTTATCACAGCCTATACATGCGATGAAATGACACCTCAACAAGTTTCGTAAATTTCGGACTTTGTTTCCATTTTATATAATTTAAAAATACTTTACACGCAAGTTCCTCGCCGTGTTCCGTGAAAACGATGCGCCCAATTTGGCATCTATCACTGGATACGGTCTCACACCACATTCAATACCATGAATATAATTTTTTGAATCATTCAATTCCAATATTCGATGCACCTGCAGTTCAAATTTGAATTACTGGGAAGAATTCAAGTAAATGAAATAAACTTATTAAATATAGCTAATAAAATCAAAAAAGCTCCAAATTTTAATATGTACTTTAAGGTACAACAGTAAATCCAGGGAAAAAATTTGGAAGCAAAAAAAGCAAAAAAAAACTGCCGAGGGCATAGAAACGACACTCGGCAAAGTAATTCTTTGCCGAGGGCCAAATTCTGACCCTCGGCAAAATAGACGGCAGGTGAAGGCCGTTTGCCTGCCGTCACAGGTTTGCCGACGGCCATGTTTTGCCGAGAGCCGGCCCTCGGCAAAGATAAACTTTTGCCAACGGCCTTTCTTTGCCGATGGTCGGACCCTCGGCAAAGGGTCCGGTTGCCGAGAGGAATTCTCTGCCGACGGCCTAGCCTTCGGCAAATATGGTTTTGCCGACCGCCTACCGTTGCCGAGGGCCGACTCTCGGCAAACCTTTCTTTGCCGAGAGCCCGACATTTGGCTCTCGGCAAAGACGCTGGCTCTTGGCAACGGGCCTGTTTCCGGTAGTGATAGGGACTCAAGTAGGGGTCTTGCTAGAGTTGCTCTTATGGATTTATATTGACCATGAGGCACTTATCGTGACTTTACCAATCTTAAGATCTATCCACTTAGAGTATGACTAGGTAGCGTGCCCGTATGTTGCTAAGGGACAACTAAATCTTTTGTACTAAAAATACACGGATCGCACGATAAGATAACAATACTGTTAAATTAAATACCGACGTTAAAGTGACATTTAATTCAAAAGGCAAAGTTCGTGAAATTAACATAGTCATGGAGAGCGCGGCGTCGCAGGCTCACAAACTCTACTGTATAGACTTTTCGTGATATGGCTAAGATAATATTTTATATCGACAGAAAGAATTCTCCAATATCCATTTCTTTCATGCGCCAATAAATCCATGAATAAGTTCCGTTGCATTTCCATATAATCCTATACACACAGGTTCGAGTATATATGTAAATATTAGTGCCTGTCACATGGATAATACTGCGTGTCTTAAAAAATCTCTCATAAAATTTTAAAACAAAGTATGTTATACTCACCGTGTAAATATGTGTGGATTTAGGACTATTCCACACAGACATATATTGTAGAATAAGGTATCCACTTAAGTGTCTGTTCCAAGATGTTGAATTAGGTGTTGTAATTCTTAATTTTGACACATTTTTCAGGTCAAGGCAACCAATGGTGACACTTTTCTTAGTGGTGCACCTCTTGACTATCTGAGTAAGGACAAGTTAGCACTGCAAAGGCTCAGAAAAGCTGCTGACAAGGCCAAGGTTGAGTTTTCCTCCACTATGCATACTAAAACCTATATCCCCGTTTATCATTGCCGATGCTTTTGATGCAAAGCAATTCAACATTACCATGATCAAATATAAGTTTGAGTCTTTTGTGAGCAATCTCATAGAGGGACTCTCATCTTTTATGTGATCTGCCTCAAGGATATTGGTAGGACGATGGACCCATGTTAGAATGTCGCACCAAAAGGTGTCCACGTTTTGTCCACGATTTATTTCCCATGAATATACATGCGGGTACTATGATAACACTAACTACACCAAATGAAATATTATAGGGAATTTGCATTGCCTCCAGAAGGATTTATTTATTAAGTTCTTTAGACTCTATAGGTAGTTTTGAAATATCTGTTTGCATATCTTACCTCGTATCCTAATTTAAAATTTTGTAGTTTAATTAGAATATGGGGAAATGATTCAAAATGAACAGACGCAAGGGCAATTTCAGCAAAAACAGCAAGCGAGGGCGATGGAACATATGAGCGTGAAACCAAATTAAAGGAGGAAAAAGTTGTCCCTTTTGTAAATGCAAAGAGGGGAAGTAATTAAATGTAGGCAGATTTAGCAAGTTTCTCATAGATGCAAAGATGTTTCTTTTATCTTAATTCTCTTTCCTTCTGTGTTAATTCTCTTTTCTTTTGCTCGTTGCCATGTATGCTAGTGCATGCAAACATGCAATGTGTATATGGATAGCATAATAATTTTCTACTTCTTATTTTGCCGTGATTCCTCTATCATATGACAAGTAATATTCAATCAAGGAGAATCGCACCAAAGGACGTAACATGCGGGAGATGTCGTGGGATCGCAGGCGTGGACAGACGGACGAACCAAAACAAATGTCGCACAAAAAAATATCCACACTTTGTTCTTTTTAGTTGTAGGAGATGAGATTGGTTGGGTGGATGCAGCTTAACCTGGCTTGCGTGATGTAGGCTTTCGATGTTTGATTGATCGTCGGCCTGACTCGGGGGAACGAGATTGAAATCTGTTTCTCCATGGTGTGGTGCAGAGCTCGGGCTGTGCGAAGCAAGAGAGCGGGGACGCGAGACGAGAGGTAGTCGTCAATTTGTCTTGTACATCAGTATAGAACAAGATGAAATATAGTAGAAATCAACTTATATATGTAAACTCACTCCTCTAGCTGCAACAATCATCAGCTCAACTTTTTATTCACTCATCACTCTATAGTCTGTCTGTAATAATAATTCACCCGTTTCCTTTCCTTTGCGCCGGCCGCAGCCCCCAGCCATGGTCCTGATCCTTACCGGTAGCTGCGGTAGGTGGAGGTGTACATGCAGCCCTTGCCCGAGGTGCTGATCAGCACCGTCGGCTTCAGCGACTGCACCGCCTCCAGCAGCGTCGCCACGGGCTCGGGCTCGTGCGCCCACGGCTTCTTGAACGCCTGCAACGAGTCTATCCGCGACGCCACGATCAGGCCCTTGGAGTCCATCAGCCAGATCTTCGGGCGTCCCTCCTCGATCGGAGACCCAGTCTGTTTTGACATCTCGAGAGCAATGAGCTCGGCAATGCCAGTCCCGGCCTGCAAGCAGACAACAAAAGTGTGTCAATTTCACCTAGGAAAGGAGCCCGTGCGTGATCCAAAACTTTGAGAAAGAAGAGGTAAGGTAATTAACATTGTTGCAGTATATAATGTAGATCAAACCATATAATCGCAGCTGACCTCGCCGGCACCGAGGAACAGGTAAGTGTGGTCTGCAAGCGTCCCGCCAACCACCTTGAGTGCCGCCAGGAGGCCTGCCAGGACCACGGAGGCTGTTCCCTGCAACAATTACACCCGCATCGTTTTTGTTCATTCATCGGCACAGTATAGAAAGAAAAGGACGAGTACAAAACAGGCAGCACCCCCTGTTTCTGGACTTGGCATCCATGGACCAATGGACCATGGTGCTACTGTCTACACACAGAGCTGCATAAGCTACCTGGATATCGTCGTTGCAGACGAGATGGCTCTCCCTGTACTTCTCCAGCAGGTCAAAAAGAAGTGATGCAGTTGTGATATTTTAAAAAAATGTTTATAAGGATTGCAATGAGGCGTTATGAATCCTGAATTTTAAAAACAGTATACTCAATGGATACGGGGAAAAAGAACAAAGAGATAGCAAAGCATACAGTTTATTAATGTAACAAAGATGAAATGTGATCCAATATACACTTTGAAACTGTCATAACACATATATGTAAATAAGATCAAAAAATTGGTTTTGTTCTAGGATCATACAAAGAGTGTAGAATATGAAAACAGAGAGTGTTTTAGAATACACATATACAGAGTTTATACTCAAATAAGGAGATGGGGTGGTACAATAGTTACCGGTTTGAATAGGTGCCGGCTTTCACCATCATGGCTTTGGATGAGCTTCATCACAAAAATTCTACTGTCACAACTTGTGGACCATCTTCCTAATTTAGAAAAAAAGAATGAAATTAGGAAAGGGATGTTTATAGAAAACGGAGCATTAAAAGCACAGCAGTACATAACCAGAAACCAAAAAGAAGCATGGAACGCATGGCTTCCTATTTAGTATTAGCTACTATAGTAACTAGCTAACTATTGGGTGGTATTGGATCCAAGCAGTCTTAGGTGGTTGTTTTAGCTAGCAGATCCAAACCACACCAAAAGCTAAAAAAATATTAGCTAGTGAACTATTGTATTAATCAGCTATCTATTGCATTCTATTAGTTCGTCTTAGCGAGAGACATCAAACTACCAACTAATTGTTAGCCTACAGACACTACTCATCCGTCCACTACAATAGGATAACCTGCGCGCTCCTCCATCATCAGTCAACTTGCTGGGCTTTAAGCACACCACAGCCAGCTAAATTATGATATGTTGCAGAAACGCGTCTCAATTCTCAAAACATCTAGAACATGGTGGTTGCTATTTGATAGATGCAACCTTAATCCTCACACAAAAAGTGGTTAGAACATGACTGCTATTGTCAAAAATGCAACCTTGATCCTCAAGCACAAGGATTAATCTGGGATAATGATCTCCTTCCTCAGTATAAAGGAACAGACCACAAAAAAAAGGCACGGAACTACATTTCATTTCCAACATGTTCCAGAACCAGGAACGCCAAGTTGTTATCTAACTATTCACATAAACTCACTATTAAAAATACATCTCATCTTTGCCAAACCAGAGAAGCTTATATGAGGGGCAGAAATAATAATCCAAAAGGTTAGCACAGCACAATCAGGCAAAAAAAAAAATAAAATAAAAGAAGAAACGAGCATAAAAGCACAAAAGTCAGACCTCAAGCAATCCAAATGATCTACCATCTCCACTGTTTATAACTTTGTACTGCAGCATCATAAACTTCATACTCACAAATTTATAACTTTATGTATTAAAAACTTCACATGCTGAATTAGGAACTTTATACTAGCTCATTGAAAACATTATAGTCCAAGATATAAAACATACATGTTTAGGTTAAAAAAAATTGTAACACCATCAGCTAACGTACATAATTATATATGAGACTTGTAATTTAAAATCAAACATACATGCTTAGGTTACTGAACATTGCCTCTATAATCAGCGCAATGGTTACCAGGTAGCAGTTTTATGTTGAAAGATCAACACAAAATCTTCTGTGAGTTCTGAAAAAGAGGTTCTCAGTTTTTTGAACTATATGATGACTACAAATTTCACCCTATAGATTTGCACAAGACATAGGCACATTGAATTAGGTCACAGGTATACGGTCAGAAGAACATGAATTTGATCAGGATGTACTGAAAGCAAAAGCAGGAAGCTGATGCCAGTTAAATCATATAACATTCCTACTGACCTGCCTATAGCCTTGTAATAATGTTTATCCTGATTGGGTGGTAGTGGTACTAGTTGGTGTGGAATTGATTGGTTGAGTGAGTTGTCTCATCTTCAACCAGAACAACCAAGAAGAAAACTAAACTACAACATGGAAAAGCGGATAATGATGCCTCAACAACTAGTCTCTTAGTTCAGGTTTGAACACGTATTACATATTTTGCTTTACATGTTGAAAAGACCAGGCTGTTTTTTGGCTACAAATTGTTTTACATACTCATGTAATATATTTTGATATATGCTGTAAATTGTTCACAGGTAGCTGTAAAAATTATGGCAAAACAATCTTATCCGCACAAAAAGCACCAGATCACAAAAAGTGTATGCCCTCAAGTCCCAGCTACAAGATGTATCTCTTCATATTTCAGGTAACTATACAACTTTAAGATTTTTTTGAGACAGTAAGATAACTTTGTGCAAACTGTGATGATATCGATGAATACAAACTTAGTTGACTCGATCTTTCCTAGCAAGCTTCATTGTACTGTTAAAAATTCTGAATAACATAGGAATATTAAAATTGCTACGCTTTCTGAACTGAATCAGGAAAATATCTTAGAAATAAAAAATAGTCAATTTGTAACCAGAGGTACAAAGTTAGCAAAAATTGTAGGAAGAGTACCAGACTATACCTCGATAGTAAAAACAGGGAGGAAATAACCAAAATCACTCTTGTCCAGAAACGTTCTTTTCTTCAAATGCTCCCACAGACCATGACCTGAAAAAAATGGAGGTAAGTCAATAATTATATTTGTTAGTTTCTAGTTTAAGAAATGCATTGTATTAGCACAGCTCACTTGTTTATTTTTTATTTTCTGACATGCCCAAGAAGACGAACTTTCAAGATCCATAGCTTCATGCAAAGTAGAAGCAAGCACTGTCAGTGCATGGATCAGCTTTTTGAAAAGAAACATGAAAATTGCAGTCCTTGTTTGAAGAACTAAGGGAAAAGCAGGCCAAGAAGTAGGCTCTCTCCCTGAACCCCTGAACTAAGGGAAAAGAAACATGAAAATTGCAGTCATTGTGATAACTAATAATCATTCTCAGAAGTTACAGGCTCAAAATATTTGCTGACATGCAGTGGCATTTCTCTTATGTTGACTGCAGCGAAGAATTGGATAGATGTGGACTCTGCTTTGTGAAATTGACTAAGTATCATGTTTCTGCATGCGTGGTAATTATTTTAACTTTTACTTTCCGAAGAAGTGATATGCTATTGAGGCCTTTCTGTTTACGAGCTTTTGCACACCAATATTAGTTATTCTACTGAATTCTCTTTTGGAATTCTAGGAAGCGCTAAGCACTTCTATTGACTGTATCAAAGCATTTGTTGACAACTTGAAATATTTTGGTGACAGGAACGGTTTTCATTTTTCAGTCTAATTTGTTCAAAGCATCTTCCCCTATGGCTGAATATTTTTAGTCGCATCACCAGATCCGTGTCAGTGGAGGATGGAGCTAATGGTCCGTCTAAGCAATCAAAACCCTCGTAAAATACCTTGATGAAGAATATCTCCAAACTGAGAAACAGGTGATTTTGAGGTAGGTCCGTTTCATCTTTTCAGTTTTTAGAACTATATGATGACTATAAATTTCACCCTACAGATTTGCAATACACAGTTATTCTTATCGATCAAAACATAAGGTCAATCTGAAACAAATGTTGTAGACAAGTTGGTTTGCTTCTGAATTTTTAGCAGGATGGCATCTCACCGCGAAACCCACTGCTCTGCTAGCACGCAACCAAAGCAGGAACGAGAATGAAACTATCAACCGCCTTGCCCAGGACCTTGCGGGTGCCTAACCAGGCATCGGTCGCAAAAAGAGAGTCACCACGACGCGCATCACCAGTGAGCGGCCGGCAGAACGCACAGCCGTGTCGAACAGGGTCGACACCAATGTCCTGGCGACCGCGGAACACGACGTCGGGGATCACGGAACGACCGGCGCAACGCACACAAGTCTCGCACGCGCACCCGGCGGGAGCAGAGGGGCGAAGAGCGGGGAGGGGCAGGCGGATGAAGCGGCGGCGCGTACCTAGAGGAGCTGGAGTCATTCGAGACCGTCGCCGGTGATGATGTCGACGTCCTCGCAACCGCGCGGCCAGCAGTAGGGTTTGGATCCGTGTTCCCGGTCCTGACTGTAGATGCCGGGTCTCGACGGGCAGCGGATTCGTAGGGCCCCTCGCTCCTCAGCCCGAAGCACGCTCGAATCAGCCTCCACCTCTGCCTCAAATCGAGGCCGTGTCACCGAATCCGCCCCAAATCGAGGCCTCGCCGGTGACGAATCCTCCCCAAATCGAGGCCAAATCGAGGCCTCGCCGACGATGACGGACCTTCACCTCCATGTCGACGGGCCTTCACCAGCATCGACGGCGGAGGAGGTCAGCTGGTGCTGCTCAAATCGGTGGGAGGATGAAGATGCCGTCGGATCCGCAACCTCCTCGATGGATCCACGGGATGCGCCTGCAAGGGAGCTGGGGAAGGCCGCCGGCTTTCGAGGTGGAGGGGAGAGGGCGCCGCCGGGTGGGATCGAGCCGCCGCCGCCGCTCTAATCCAGACAGGAGATGGGGGAAATGAGGGAACGGAGGTCCGCCATAGTCGCATGGGGTGGGATGGGGTGGATTGGAATCAGGAGGGAGAGACCGGAGAGAGAGTGGAGCGCGACAGAAGAGGAAAAAGCTAGAGGCGGCTTGCGGGAGATGAAAGAAGAGGCGGTGGTGGCTGTGTTTAGGATTTGGGGAAAGACCTAGGGTTTGTCACAGTGGGTGGGGTCCATTTTCTTTAGCGACAGATAGATTGATGCTACACTTGGCTTTAGCGACAGACGGTTCAATACTAAATATGAATACCTATAGCGACAGACACTAAATCGCTAAATGAAGATTTAGCGTCAGATGGTCTCTGAGTTATCTTTAGCGTCAGATCATCCATCGCCAGATATAATTTTTAGCATCAGATGTCTGACGGTGAAACGATGTTGTGGTATAGTGCGTCTTGTTTGGTTGCTTGCCTCCGACTAGCCTGTCTATGTGTTGAAGATGCATGTTTGGTTACCCACATGGAGCATGTAGAAAGCGAAATTTCTCCTGTGTTCCATGTGCTTAAACGCACATTGCATGAGCTAGGTTTCGAGGAAACAAATAAAATCCATGTACCTTGCAAGCTAGGATACTAGCGTTGAATAACTTATTTTATTTTAATTAGTAATTATCATGATAAAAATATCATTAGTGTTTATTTATCAGTGTATGATTAGTTATTATTATTTTTAGTTAAAAGATATAATTATCCAACTATTCTCTTCCTATCTACTCTCCTCCATATAACTAAACAACAAATGGCTGGTCCCATCCATTTAACCAAAAAGATAGTATGGATAATCCTGTCTCAAAATTTATGGATTGCTATGTCTCATCCAGTCTTACCCTCAAACCAGATAGGTAGCCGCCTCTTGGATGTGCTCATATGTGCCCTGCGTGTCTATACCTTGTTTCAAGAAAAGACTTTTGCCATGAATTTTTTATTATTATTAGTAAGCTTCAGCATTATTTTTCTTTGAGAAAAAGATAATGATATCATATATGTTTTACAAGAAACACAGATAATTAAACATCAAAAGTTTCACGTACACATTACAATTTCTATATATACTTGTGATAATTAAGCAATGTTTTTCTTCATGAAAGCTAGGCCAAACACAACAGGAAACGGCTGATTTGCCGGGAGCAAAAAAATTTGCCGGGTGCTTTTTATCGGGCACCTGGCAAAGGAATTCTTTGCCGGGTGCCAGGCCTGGCGACACCCGGCAAATAAAGGCCTCCGGCAAAGAATCCTTTGCCGGGTGCCGGGCACTCGGCAAATTCCAGCCGTCGGCAAAAATGGTCTTTGCCGGGTGCCGGCCACTCGGCAAAATATGGCCGCCGGCAAAAGTGGCCGCCGTCAGCCTTTGCTGGGTGCCACGCCGTTAGGCACCCGGCAAAGAATTTTTTTATTTTTTATTTAAATTTCTTTGCCGGGTGCCCCATGACCTGGCACCCGGCAAAGGCTTTTTTTGTTTTTTTTACCCGCAAATCGCAAATCCAGAAGCCTGTCCGCGCCCCGCCGCCCTCTCCCTCTCCCTCTCCCAAATCGCGGCCGCCCTGCCGGCCCCAAATCTCGCGCCCGCCCCGCCCCAAATCTCGCGCCCGTAGTCTCCTGTCGGCCGCTGCCCTGTAGCTCCCGCTCGCTCATCCCCTGGTCCCGCCCCGCCGCCGCCCTCTTGCTCCCACTCACCTCACCTCGCCCCTAAAGATCTCGCTCGTCCCCCTCCTCACCCCCTGATCTCGCCCCGCCGCCCCCTGAAGTAAGCCATGAACACGACATCCAACGCCGCCGCCTGAGCCCTCTCTGCTCCCTCTCCAAACAGCCTATCCACGTTGCTGGCTCGCCGCCCCCTGGAGCACGCGACAGTGGAGGACGGTGGCTCGGCCTCAGACGCTAGGCACCTCCCTCCCTCGGCGGCTGGCTGTGGCAGGTGTGGAAGAGGCCACGGGCACTGCTGATGCGCCTAAAGCTAATCCAGTGAGGTGAGATAATTTTTCCCCTCCACTCCCCTTCTTCCTGGGTCGTAGAATTCGTGGGTGCTGGTGAGACTCCCTGGCCGAACTGCCTCTGCACTATGTGTGCCGTGTTCCTGTTGATTCAGATTTGCCGAATGCAGTGATGAGGGTGGGGCGACACTATAGATCGAGAGGTCTCCTAGTAGCAGCTGGCGTTTGAAAGGATTCCTGTGTTGCTTGATGTTCTTGCCTGGTTGTAATGTTTTTATTCACTGATCTATGTGCTTGCCTGCTCATCTAGATCCAAAACATCGTACACAAGAAATCCACTGATACGCAGTCAACCTGAATTTGTATATCATGGACCTTCCAATCAATGCTAATCTGAATGTCTGAATGTGATCGAGACAACCTCTTTATCGTTATATTAGCAGCCACTAACAGATGGGCTTCAACAGAAGGCTATCTTTGGCCCGACCTGAGAGAAGGAACAGGAGTAACAATTCGTTCGCGCCATCCTGAATGCTCTGAATGTCTGAATGTGTTCGAGCAGAATGCTGACAAAGTGACAAGCAAAATCCCCTTTGCCACCTGAAAGGAGGAAGCCATTCGCACATTTGCAAATGCATGCGAGGATGGGATGCGGATGAAAGTAGCTGCTATAGCTCATCTCCATTTTACATGCATGTATTGTATGCAGTGAGATGGAATGGAATGTACGTCTCTAAGGGCGTCAGCAATTGGTTCCATGCACCCATATATCCATCAAATAAAGCACGCACACATGTATATATCAGTAGATGGGGATTAATTCCCTAATCCTCAAGGATACCTCCTCCTTGTCTGATGCCTGTAGCCTGCTTCTGTTTGCCCAGTCATCATTTCTTAATGATTAATTCATGCCGCTTTCTGTGATTCTACCCTTGTACAAAAGGGACAATAAGAAAAAGTAGCTAAAACTGCGCCTTCCTATTGTGAATTTGTCTTGTAAAATTCCCTCAAACAAATGAGTAGCTGGCCATCCTATTCTAGGTGTGCTTGTTGCTGCAGAGAACTATTTTTGTTAACCAAATTTTGTGTTTGCTTGTCATATCAATTAGAATTTGCCTGGGTTCATATCACTATGTTTTACACCATTATTAGCTCACTGCATTGTTTGATATGTGCGTGCTTAAGCTGTGTACTTGGTTCTTCAAACTCAGCAGGGCTTGCCAACGTGTGACTGTTGCACCGACACCAGCGGATGTCCTGCACCGAACCACAACGAGGCTGACATAAGACCTTCTTCACCAACACACGACAAGGCTGCTCGTGGTGCTCCCCCACAGGCCCCAACAAGTTGCAAACCTGCACCACCGACGTCGTCCTCACATTATTTGCAGCCTACTGATTGAAGTATTGTAGGTACGCACTTAACACTTGTGGGTTCTATGTCCAGAAATAATTCATATGTCACTGTTTTCCTGCTCTATCACACTTTGCTTCCACATGTATCATTGTATGTGTAACTGCTGTTTTTTTACTTGTGTTGCTTGCTGTAGGCATTGCAAATGCTAGCTGTCAGTTGTTTATCTAATTTCGAATTGCTCTCTAGCTATAATCTGAGAACTGAATTAGAGCAGCACCTCAGTCACATGTTTCTTGATTTAAGGTGTACTTCCATTTATAATTCCTAGCTAAAGGCCTGTGTAGAAGCCTGTGGTTTTATACCGACCATCATCTACCCTTACATGTTATAGTTTCTAATTAAATTAGCCATACTTTTATTCACTTAGTGATTCCCTGCTTTGAAGCAGCAACTCTGCATGCCTACCAAGAGGATCGTCAAAACAATTATATGATCACCTTGTTTTCATATATGTATTTTTTGGAATGTTGTCATGGTTTCTGACTATGTTACCCATAACCTAAGGTTTGGTGGAGCCTACAGATATGCCCCTTTTGATTATTGTGCATATGAAGTATTCAGTGCATGTATTGTGGTACCAATATTGTCTCCTTGATATATCTACTACAAGTAATTTAGTATATGTATTCACACATAATAGTTTTAGTACAACTCATTCAGTTAAATGTTATCAGCTTTGTGTATGACGGTGAGCAAAGTTTTTTGGCTGTTGTGTCTGAGAGAATGAAGAGAGCACCTGATCTGAGTCTTAAAAAAAATGGATGCTAGCCGTGGGAAAGATTGGAGGAAACTTCTTTGGCAATTTGGTCTTATTTTGGTCAAACTCGGGCTGAATCCATCAGCTGTGGCTACTACTGCCATTTTTCTTTGGGAGAGGGAATCCAACTATCCCAATTGCTGACTCAACACTCTGACTTTTTCTCTCCTGTCTTGAGAAGATCGCTGCTGATCTTTTAAAGTCGGATCAAGCACTAGATGAAGGAACTACTAGGCATCACTACCCAAGCATGGACCAGTAATATAAAAACCTGAAATCTGAAATTACTACACACTTTTGATGTGATACTGCTGAAAGTAAAAACTTGACTGAAAGTTAAATTGATTAGAGGCATTTGTCGCACTTAGGCGCAAATGAGGTCCAGTGCTTTAGATAACTCATACTGTATGTCAGTTTTACATAGCTTGTCTACACTTGCTGATTACATGGTTACTATTAGCATTGTTAGTAGTTAAGTAGTTGTTAGTAGTAGTGTTAGTAGTAGTTGTAGGGTTAGTAGTAATTGTTGTTGTACTACTTCAATACTTTCATGTGCATGGAAAGAGAACTAAAGTACATGGCTCCTCTTGATATATTGGTGGTTGTTGGCCTTCGTGTCCATGTTTGGTATATATGTGGTTGTTGGCCTTCGTGCCATGTTTGG